GCATAGATTAGGTAGTCATAAATTGAATAAGGTACAATGATATGATTGAGTGAAAAAAGGTTTGGAGAGACTCCATTTAAGAGATAAATCTAAATACAAGCACTAGCACAGTTAATTAATTAATTATTTACAGGATGAATAACATTAATAAGCAAAAAATATTAAAGTCAAGATAAACTATGTACAAAATTATTTACAAATTACTTGAATAGATACAAAATTATTTACATTATAATACATGGGGTATTCTAGGTAGCAAGAAACCATTGGTGTTATTGTTAATATAGTGACCCAGCCGTCCCGGCAAGTCACCGCTCGTGCCGGGTTGCTCACTATTCTTAGGCTTACAGATCTCTGGCTCCCCTGGATCGGACCCTGCGAACAAATTTCGCTGTAGTTAAGATTAGTATGCTTTTATATATTTGTTGTAATTATTTAAACGTAGTGGTGGTCAAACTCTTTTATGATTATTATTATAATTCAAAAATTTTAATGACATGACGCGAGTTTCGGTATCACTTTAAATACAAAATTAAAATCTTTCGGAAAAACCGGAAGAGTTAGCAGGTATGTGAAAGCCTCCACGTGGTTTCTAATAGGTAGTTCAATCAGACCACTATGAAAGTAAACCAGTTTACGAAAGAACCATTTAATAGAAAATCTAGTAAAAATAAGAATAGGATTAGGTTCTAAACTTTTAATCTATTCATTCCCGCCCACATATATGGTAAAATTGGTTACATGGATTTGGTTATACTAAGAAGTCATACCTTTTTATTGCCTAAGACTTTATCTTAAAAAACATTGTATACATTGGATCTAAATATAAGTATCTACACAGCTAATATTATTATGTAAGCAAAGCTACCTTGTTCCCGAATGATGTCGATTAAACAAATACAAATTAAGAAACACATTTTTTATCGCTTATTTCTTTTTTAAAAAGATTAAAACACATTCCAGATATGTTAGTTTTAAGTTGGTGGAAGTAATTGCTGTAAAGTTTCACATAACTTTTAAAGTTACGCTTGCCACGAATATATAAAGCATTAACAAGAAAAGATATCCTTCGTTAGCCTTTATTTCCCACTTTATTGAAATTCTTTCAACTTCAAAAAGTGGTAGATTCAAAATATTTATTTCAAAAATTTGTCTTACTTTGAGCAGAGGGGTTTAAGTTGTATATTACGAGGGCGAGGCTGAACAACGCCTCCTATAACTGAAAGCCTTTACGTGGCTTCTAATAGGTAGTTCAATCAGACCACTATGAAAGTAAACCAGTTTACGAAAGAGCCATTTAATAGAAAATCCTGTAAAAAAAAAGAATAGGATAAGGTTCTAAACTTTTAATCTATTCATTCCCGTCCACATATATGGTAAAATTGGTTATAGGGATTCGTTTATACTAAGAAGTCATGCCTTTCTGTTGCCTAAAACTTTATCTTAAAAAACATTGCATACATTGGATCTAAATATAAGTATCCATATTGCTAATATAATTATGTAAGCAAAGCTACCTTGTTCCCGAATGATGTCTATAGCTGCCAACTCTTGCGGTGTTCCAGGAAGATTTTAATTTTGTATTTAAAGTGGTACCGAAACTCATGTCATGCTGTTAAAATTTTTGAATTAGAATAATAATTATAAATGAGTTTGACCACCACTACATATAAATAATTACAGCAAATATATAAAAGCATACTAATCTTTACGACAGCGATTCGTTCACTGACCCTGCTTGAGTAAGGTTGTGTTGTGACCGAGCTCTGTTTTAATGTCAGCTCAACGATTCGGACGCGGAGGGAAGGATTACCGACCCTCTCGCAAACCGGCCATAGATCACGAAGCTATTAAAGAGCGGGTAAGAATGAAGTTATATGCCAACGGATTTTATCCCAAGGATGGAAGAGTGGATATTAAAGAAATCGATCGACAAATTCAAATTTATCAAGAATGCTCCGATGAATCTTCAATGTTGATCAATAAATTTCCCAACAACCACCAGCTATATCCGGCCCATTATGAGTGGATTTACTGCATTGAAGCATTGGAAGCTCTTAAGGACTCAATTGTCATCCCGACAACAACTACTGTTGCTACTCCAACTATTCCAGAAGAGCCTACCCTAGTTGTAGCTACTGACGCAGAGGAGTCAATCTGTACTGCCGACCCAGTGACAGACCCAACTAATACAGACATGGAGACTACAGTACCAGAGATGATTCCCGACGACACAGAAAAGACAGTCTCACCTACCATCCGAGAGACTGACTCAACTGCTGTAAAACAGAACAAGAGGAAAAAGAAAAGGAAGAAGAGCAGTGTCAACCCGGCGACACAAAAATGCACTGAATCCGAAACAGACAGCGAACCTATTCGCCCTGAGACAAAGATTGCCTCCACACCTACAGTGGAAGAACCCACACCCGAATCTACTAGTACTGCAGCCCCGGCAATCGTCGAGACTCCTGCGGAAAATAGTGAACAGATGGAATTTCTACAAACCACCAGTAGAAATTTGAAAGCCCTCGTCCGAGGACTTAGCTCAGAAATCGAGATCGCAGATCTCGAAAAAGAACTTATGGACTTAGAACAACGGCAATCAGATTTGAGCAGCTGAGGAAGAGGTGTGGCCAGGAACTCAAGCCCCTCCCCCTCGACCTAGTCATTCTACCAGACAGCGGAAGACACCGAGTATTCTTCAGCATCAAGCGACTGCTAAATTCTCCAGTTAAGATCGAAAAATTTCGTGGCGGGCGTCACGAAATTCAATGCTACCAATGTCAGAAGTTCGGCCATACACAGAAGTCCTGCACAGCTGAGCCTTCTTGTATGAAGTGTGCCAATGCACATTACACGTACACTTGTACAAAATCAATGAGCGAGCCGGCGATGTGTGCAAACTGCCTTGGTGAGCACCCAGCCTGTTTTTCGGGCTGCGGTGCAAGACCCAAAAGAAAACCAAGAAGAAGACCCACCCAGTCCACCAAAGCCACAGATAAAGCCACCAGATTCCTGCTGTTATTTAAGGAAATACAGCAGCTTCTCAAAGATCCAGATTTCACGAAACTACTCCGATCTCTGCTTGCTGACCAACCATAGACCCAGAGATCTCCTCCAAGCCCTACCTGTTCTTCAAAGACGTCCATAGCCCTCATGTGGAAATTACTACTCTACTTTTTTAAATGCCAATAGTCATCGTTGCCTTAGGGCATATCTACAGATGAGGCGGTCAGGTACCTGCTAACGCGGGCAGGTACCTCAACAAATCCAGATCGTTCGTTCGTTTTTACGACAGCGAATTTTAACCCAGTCAAAATATAAATATATTTGTGAGTAAGATTGTTTTTCGGTAATTGTTTTTCTACCACTTGGAAAATTCATTCTCAGAAAGAGTGAAAGTTGGCAGGTATGGATGTCCATTAAGCAGATACAAATTAAGAAACACATTTGCTATCACTCTTTTCTTTTTTGAAAAGATCAAGCCACATTCCAGGTATATTAGTTTTAAATAGGTGGAGGTAATTGCTCTAAAGTTTCGCATAACTTTTAATGTTACTCTTGCCACGAACATACGCCGAATTACAGACGAAAACAGCCCTTCGTTAACCTTTATTTCCCTTTTTATAGACATTCTTTCACCTTGAAAAGTGGTAAATATTTATTTCAAAAATTAGTCTTACTTTGAGCAGAGGGGTTTAAGGTGTATATTACGAGGGCGAGGCTGAACAACGCCTCCTATAACTGAAAGCCTCCACGTGGTTTCTAATAGTTAGTCCAATCAGACCACTGTGAAAGTAAACCAGTTTACGAAAGAGCCGTTTAAATAAAAAATCTAGTAAAAACAAGGAAGTGGCAGCAAATATATCTCTAAATTTTTTTTTAATTTATGAATATGATTGGTTTTTTTTATTTACTTGTCAACCACTAAAGATTCAATTCTCAAATATGTAAGTTACGTTTCTCTTAATTACTTTTAAAATAGAACTTGGGTACATACGCGCAAGCGAACGCAGTTACTAAGAGTTTACACAGCAAATTCCACTGTTGGCTCATTTAGCATATAACACCTAGACACCATTACACAAAAAGGTTTCTAAACGTAATATTCAGAGTGGTAAATCATTTATGGTGCCAAAGAGGACTTTCGAATGCAAGAGATTAACAGGTTAACGCCCAGTGTCCCATATATAGGACAGTTCCTTTTTTCAAAGACATTCACTGCAGAGATGCCAACTGCTCCGGACACGCCAAATTAATAAAAAAAAAACGGTAAAAACTACAAAGTAAATTTTGTAAATATTGGACTACTTTTGCTTGCTTTTTAAAGGGTATAGCAGGACATAAGTTCTATAAAGTGGTGAATTATATAAGCCTACGAATTAGTGGAATAATTTAGAAATAGTGGTGGATAAAAATCTACTCAATTGAATTTATTTAACCAAGAATTATAATTGATAAACTACCACTTTAAAATATATATTTGCTGTCCGGAGCAAGTTGGCATCTCTGTCACTGTGGTGGGAAACTTTTTTCAGCATTTTCATTTATCTGAGAGAATTAAAAGATCCTCAGATACCACAATGATTTAGTTATTTCTGATTAGATCTAGAATTATAAGGAGCAAGTACTTTTTGATATATCAAAGACTTTTTGAATGCCCTAAGAGTGGAAGAACCAATTAATTTCGATAATTTTTATACCACTTTTTCCATAAAACCACTTTTTGTACCATTTATATAATATAAATTCGAGACAAAACGGGTTAATGAAGCAACACTATTTTCATTATAGCTCTTTTCACATCGTTTCAATATCAAAAGTATGGTGTTAATAGGTAAGTATAATTTACACAAATAGAATAAAATCTTCACAAGACAAAAACACCGAAAATTACTTACTTTATTGCTCTCTTAACTTGCGCCTGAAAGAAAACGAGGAAATTTTCTTCTTACCTTCCAGCACTAAAAAAATATTATCCTTAAAATATAATAATTGAACACATTGCTTGAATTATTTAATTCAATAATAAACTGCTTTACTGACAAATAACGACAGCAAATACGTTTACTTTAGAACAAAGCAGAATTAAGATTTACGTAAGCGAAATAGCAGTTAATATATAATATAAAATTGAATCATAATAAGCACGGATTTCATCTACTGAGGCATTTCACCTGCTCCTCCCCATGCATTATAAGGACCAACTATTGGCCATTTGCAGAAAGTTGATGAATTTCGGTACTTTTTGACTTCAGGAAGATTCTCAATTGTTTCTTGAAACACTTTAAGGGGTGATATTCTATCAAGAATTGTCTTTTGAAACAAAATATGAGAATCAAATATATCAAAAGCAATAAAGTCAACATAAGTTAATTCTTCTCCAGCGAGGTACTTTCGATCCCCAAGAAAATCCGCAATCATATTCAAGTCCTCCTTAGTCTTCTTTAAATACTGCTCTTTTATATTCTCATAATTTGGGTCAATCACAAAATTGAAAAATTTTTGGCGAAAGTCTATAATCTGCTGTTCAGCCAAAGAAACACGTAGTTTTTCTTCTTCAGTTTTACCAGCCAAATCATACTTCGTGGCGAGATATCTCAAAATTGTGGTACTTTGGGTGAGTTTTACGTTCTCATCAATATAGTATGGCAAATTTGGGAAATCCAGACCAAGATTATATTTTATTCCTTCCCAAGTAGTTCCGTCTCGAGGAATTCTAAAATCTTCAAAATCAACATTTTTATAGTACAATAAATATCTTATAGGTTCACAAAGACCACGATATTTCCAATAACCAAACACAGGCTTAACCATGATGAATCTTTTGAAATCGAGCTTTGTCAGTCAAATGGGAAATCTACAGAATTATTTTAAGGGCGTATTTTTTATGAAAACCATTATCTTTTTCTTCCTTTCTTAATTGTTTTAAATCGTATCAGAGCTCTAAAGTCCTCGAAAGAATAAATTATCTAAGAATAAAAAGTGAATAGATATGCTAAAAGAAACAAAAATTTAAAAAGAAAATGCTTCAAATTATAAGGAGAAAAATTATTTAGAAACAGCGCATATTTTCTTCGCATATTTTCTTACGCATATTTTCTTCATATTTGTAAATGATTATTAATTACACAGGGGGTCATTTTTTGCTGCATAAGATTTTTGAACGAATCTTAGATATTTTCGCTTTGCTAACTTCAAAAATACTATTGGATCCTCACTACAGGTCACGTGTTTTATGCAATTTAATAATACATTCTTAACCAGGATTTTTTAAAATTCCCTCCTGTGAATGCTACGTCCCCACTTCGCTGCTACTTAAGAAATGGTAGGAAGAAGACGATAATACGTTTCAGTATACAAGGTGATACATTCAGGTCATATATTTTTGGTCTTAGGCATTATTTTCAAAAGAGCAAACGAGTGTATATGTCTGCACATAAACCTGTACGTTCTTCATAAACCTCAAACGAAAAATAAAATAAACTGAAAACATAATTTTGTAACAATCTGTTGACTTTCCGAACAAAAATAATTTTAGAATAAAATCTCCAGATCTAAATTAAATAAAATCAAGTACGTGCTTAAATGCAAAAAAAAAATTGTTTCCCAGCATTGTTAATAATGTTCATTATTAATTTTTTCTCTTCAATTTTTAGTTTCGTTAAGTTTGGTTCCGTAATTTGAGCCACTTTCTGTTTTTACATTTTTTTCGGTGATAAAAATGTATAAATGGAAATGTATTAAGAGAAGTTAACTATACAATGAATTTACAAATTCAGGATTTAAAAATATCTCGAAAAATATACACCGTATCAAAAAAGATGATTATAGTAACATTCAATATTTGTAAAGCTGTGCAATGATACCAAGCTCGATCTTTCCCCCCAGCCCCTGGTGGTGGCGAGGGGGTGAATTTGAGATCTTAAGTAGGAATATTTTATTGCAGATTTGCATACTTCAGAAAAAGTAAAACTTTTTGAATATTAGAATTATGCATTATGCTTCACAGTTGGAGTAGTAGGCGAAGAAAATTAAACGGATACAAGTTTATAAATGCAAGGAATAAGGAGTAAGCATGCATTTTACTACCACTTTAAATATAAAATCTTCCGAACAATACGTAAAAGTTGGCAGGTAGGAATCTCTAAAAACACTTGCACGATTTGTTAATACGTTGGCCATACCCTCCAACTGCTACGGAATTTCCGTAGTTTCAAAAATCTTCTTTTCAGACGGTAGCAAAATTAATGTCTTAATATTTAAAAAAAAATTATTTTAGCGTAACTTGTCCACTATTACTTATAAAAGTGCAGGCCATATGGCTAGATTCTTAAGTTCTGATAAAAGTTTTATGAGAGATCCATTTGCTTTAAAAATTTCTACTTTGATTCGCTGCCACTAGAAAGAATTATTTTCAAAATCCTCATAAGTTGGAGGGTATGATACGTTGCTATTTTTCCCTTCTGGAATATTGCAGGTACATTAGAAATAAAAGAGAATATTCGTCTAGAATCATCCAGACTGAGAGCTTATATCTACCAATGGAGAGAAAAAAAACTGGTAAGAAAATAATTTCACTCTTACACGTTTTCGGGAAAAGTAAAATATCAATGACCACCAGTTTTTTTAACAATTCTAACATACGTTTACAGAACAGTTATTTACGACACAAAAAAATAAATAATGACTTCATTAATATTATCATACCTGCCAATTCTCCCGCATTTTGCGGGAGATTTTATTTTCATATTTAAAGTGGGAGTAAATATATACTATTTTTTCTTTTATAAATTTAATTTTTAAATGATTTTGATCACCACTATTCTTACAAAAATTAAGCTTATATATTAATATGCGTTACTATCACAGAGATGCCAACTTGCTCCGGGCAGCAAATATATATTTTAAAGTGGTAGTTTATCAATCGTGATTCTTGGTTTAATAAATTCAATTTAGTAAATTTTTATTCACCACTATTTCTAAATAATTCGTAGGCTTATATAATTCACTACTTTATAATGCTATTGTCATGCTATACCTTTTAAAAAGCAAGCAAAAATAGTCAAATATTTGCAAAATTTAGTTTGTAGTTACTTACCGTTTTTTTTAATTATGTTAGCTTGTCCGGAGCAGTTGGCATCTCTGCTATCATGGTTGTCAACCTAATTTTTTTCAAATACAACGTATTTGTTTGCTTAAAGTTGAAGTTTTAATTCAATTTTAATACCACTGGGAAAAATGATAATGGAAGGGATTAAAAATTGGCAGGTCTGATATTATAAACAGAACAACTTATTCCACGTATATGCAACTAAACGGTTTTACCGTTCGACTCTCCAATACTTTCCCGTCTTATTTTCAGGACCTAGCCTCAACAAGTGTACAAATCGCAATCCTTTTTATTAATTTGCGAGACGCATAATTTAAAAAATCATGCTGTCCGAGAAACATCCATATTGCTAGAGAAAACTGGCACATCTTCTTTATTTATTAACTGTCTTCTTAATATTACGGTGGTAGATTTTAAAAACACCAACTTACACTACGTTTCAAATAACTGATTAATTAAGCTCGAAGCTAGTCTATTTGTTAGAAGAAAAAATTATGATATATTGACATCACTTTTTCGCTCTTTTTATCATAACACATTGCAAACCTGTCGCGTAAAAATACGTTTTAAAAATTTGTGTAATCCATAAAGAAGTTAAAAAAGTATTAGCAGAACTACTTCGTTTCTGTTCTTTTTTTCAAGGAAATTATCCATTTGTGATTACCACAAGCATAAAGTATAAATGCAATCAGTACTACATTCTTAATTTTCCTTTTTAAATAGAAGTTGTAGGTATAGAGATAGGTTTGCTTGAGCTGTTATGAAATCTTGCCTATTAAGTTTTGCTTCAAATTTTAGTCTCTAGCAGTTGTAAAACATTATTGTTTTGAAAAGTAAATGTAGTTAAATGTTTAACAAGACAAGACTTTTGAAAAGTTGGTCATTTGTAATGTGCTAAAGAAGACCTGAAGGAGCTGGAAGATAGTCTATTTGTTCGGAATGAAAAAAAAATTTATGATAACTCGCGTTGCATTTTCGATTTTTCTTTTTATCTTAAAAGCCTTAAAAATTCAATTAAATTAATTAAGTTAATCAACATTTAAAATTCCTAAGAAATATTTTTAAACTGATATTTATAAAATAAGCGAAATTTTTTATAAAACTTTTACGCAGACAAGTGAATGTCTTTGAAGAAAGGAGCTGTGCTAAATATATGACGCTGGGCGTTAACCGGTTAAACACATAAAAATTAAGAATCACATTTGTTATCTCTCTCTTCTTTCTTGAAACAATTCCAAATTTGTTAGTATTAAATTTGTGGAAGCAACTTCTCTTAAGTTTCGTATAACTTTTAATGATACGCTGGCCACGAACATATGAAGAACTATGCAGGTACCCCACCTTACGTTATGATTGATTGATATGAGTGGAATCTTGGTGTTAAGCGCGAAGCTCTTCTAACCGATTCATCTATACTGTTTTGGGATTTAGTCTAGAGGTCATATACAGTTCAAAGTTCTAAGTTAGGATCAGATAATAAGTCCATGATGAGGTGAGGCATGAGTTGATTCAGTAGTACATCAGTTGTATGGGAAATTCCCCTGGATTAAAGTTGTGAGAAGATGCAGCACGTCTTGGTCCTTCAGCAAATTTTTAAGTTCACTGATGAGGCTAAAAAGTCTGTGGGCTGTAGAAGTAGGCGTGTCCTTGGTCGTTTTCCTCTTTCGACTGGGGCGGGCCTCGCACCCAGTGAAATTTGAGGTGTGGCTTTGCATGCAGTTGCAGCATTTAGCTGGGGAGTCTCGGCTCTTTCTGCACTGGAATGAATAGTGCCCTTCGGCACATTTCATGCATCTTGGGCTGGAGGAGCAGGAACGTTGGGTGTGGCCGAAACTCTGACATCGAAAACACTGCAGCGGCCGCCGGCCGCCGTGGTATTTCTCTATGCTGATCGGGATCTGCTTGATGCTCTCAATATGGTAGATCATCTCGTGATTGGCTAGCATTGGCATAACGATGAGGTACAGGGGGAGGGGCCTAAAGGCTTCACCCACTTTCTTCTTAAACTGGACTATTTTCAGGATTTCAATGTTCCGCTTCCCTAATTCAAGGGATATTTCATCTGTACTAAAATCATCAGGAAGGCCACGGATGAGGACTTTAGCATTTTTAACTGGCTGAGCTTTTTCTACTGAAGTGGAAGGCTCTGTGGCTTTGTTGGTAGTCTCCTCCGTAGGTTCTGATGCAGTAATAGGGGTGGGCTCCGGCATGAAAAGAGATTCCGGAGGAGTGCAGCTTTTCTGGGTCATGGATGGGTCAACATTTTCTGTAGCTGCGGCAGACTTTTTCTTCCTCTTCTTTCTCTTTTTAGCTGGTGGCTCTTTGTTGTTTCTATTTTGGATCTCAGGTTCAGAGGCTGATGTCTCTTCGTCTATATCCATATTCAAATCTTTACTGGAAGGAGTTGTGATATTATTCGGAACACTGTGCTCGGAAACGGGCTCAGTCTCTATTTCATTAGTAACACTACTTTCTGGGATGGTCACAGGGATTTCCGCTGTCTCAGTGATAGTTGTCTCCATTGTAGTTGAGGCAGTTGGCTTCTTTTGACTCGACTCAACAGTTTGAATTGCGGACACCGCTGCGTTAAAGAGTTCGTTGTAATATCTACTTGGTGTTGAGGTAGAAATCTCTCCAATGGAATCTCGCAGCTTACGAAGTTCCACGATATCAGTAGTTTGTTCTAGAAGAAACTTTGAGTAAAGTGCGTAGTTCATAGATCTGGCCGGTAAAAACCTTTTGACGATCGAAGATGTCTCATATAAGTCT